AGGTCCACCAAACGCCTTCGTCACGTCTATCGTGGGAACATCTGCTCTTCTTTTAAAGATCGCATCCATAGGAGGGGACCAGCCAGCGCAGCATCACGGTCCCAAATGTCTCCCAGGGGCTGGAGGAGAACTTGAGGGCTCAGTGGGTCCACCCTGCTATCTGTGGAGGGCGGGGGGTGGGGGGGGTGGGTGAAGATGCAGTAAATCCTCTGAACTCCGAGGAGGGTCCCTGCTGCCGCCGCCGGAGCCCCCTCCGCGCCCCTCTGCCCACCACGGAAGAGCATCTGGCCATTAGCTTATATCTAATAACCCTTAAACACTGCCATTAAGCCAGCTCTCATTCTTCTAAACTGCCCAGGAAGGGGATTCAGCGTGATATATGGGGGCTTTTATGGCTGGTACTGGGCAGTTTAAGGACTCCGCGGCACGCTGCACACACACATTGTTGCGTAAATAGGAATCGCTGTGATATCAAGGCATCGCTCAGCTCGGCGTCCAGCTTCTTAGCAGTACAGAACCCAGCCCCTGCAGCCTGAGTCACTGCCACTTGGTGAGGGGGGCTGAGGACAGAGGGACTGGCCCAGAGCTGGACAACTGGGTCCCCATGATGTCACCACAGCTGGATGCACCGGGAGACCCCATTACTCTGTCTCCCCGGCCCCTCTTCCTTATTTAACTCAGCCTTTTCCTCAATTACCCTTTCATGTTGCGTGAGGGGCAGGGGATGGAAGAGGAAAGACATTGCCAAGTGTCGGAATTAACCTACCTCGTGCCGGGCACTCTACACATGTTATGGCATCAGAGCCCCGATTTTACACAGTAGTTAAGGTGTCTCACCCATTTACAGCTGAGGAAATTCAGTCACACGCCCAAGGTCACGCAGCTCATAAGTGACACAGCTGACATTTGAACCCCGCCCCTGGGGCTGGCATCGAGGCCGTCAGTGTGAAACACGAGGCTCTTGGGCTGGGGTGGGGCAGGTGCCGGCTCTGGGGGGCAGCTCTGAGGGACTGAGGAGCCCGTGGGGGTTATAAAAACAGAGACAGGAGAGGAGGGCAGAGAGAGCTCAGAGCTTTTCTCTGGGTTTGCAGACAAGGGAATGGTGCTCACCCAGCGGGCGCACTCACGCACAAGCAAATGGACAGTGTTAATATTTAATGAGCGATGCTGGCTGCAGGGGAATTGCTATTTACTCAGCGATTCTCTCCATGTCCCTCAGCAGGGGGCTGAGGACCCCCAACAGCCCAGGGGGACGCTCCCGGCTCAGATCCCCACAGGCGGGACTCCCATCCAGGCTGGTCCGCTGGCTGCGTGCAGCAGCTCCCCGGATCTGGTCCAGCGTCAGGCCCCGGGGCTGGGGGAGGAACAGAGGGCTGTGAAGTCAAGTCTCCGAGCTGGGGGAGTTCCATTTCTGCCCGGGAGCAGCTGAAGACAAAACTCAGACAATATTTCTCCCTTCTTCTTTTCCTCAACCCTCCACCCCTCTTTCCGACGCTGCCTGAGATGCCAGCCGTTTGCTGGGGTCTTTGCTGGGGTCTCTGGCTCTTCCCGACTCACAGAGGTGGCCCGAGGGTCCAAGAGCTAGTCCTCAGGGAAATCAGCGCCTCCTCTGCTACTTCTGCCAACCCGGGGCCGGGGCACAGCTGGACACGTTAGCAGCTGTCTTTGCTTGTAGCTGGAGCCCCCCGCCCCCCAGCCCGGGGTAGGGAGTGCTCGCTGGCAGTTAGTTCTGCCTGATTAACAAAAATGGAAGATGAGCTTATTGCCAGGGAGCACGTGCTGCTTGCTTGGTAGGGAGGGCGAGCTTGCGAATCACAGGGTGCCAGGGAGGGGAAAGGATTGTAAGTGCGGTTCCTGGTGCTGGAGAGTTTGGGGTCCCCTTGTGGGTGCTTGGTGCCAGAGATAAGCTGCCAGTCTGGTGGGTGTGGAGGACGAACCTGAAAGTGGGTGGGCTGTAAGCCGGGAGGGGAGCAGGGTCTCGTGAGCGCCGGCTACAAGCAGGAGTTGGAGCAGGAGCGGTTCCACGGAGCAGATGGGTTGGTGAGGCATTGTGGGGCATGGTTAAGGGACGGGCCTGGGGTTGCATAGCTGTGTGTTGAAATCCAGGGTCTGTCCTAATCCCCAGCGCACAGTAGGTGCCTGGAAGGGGCGGTACTGATGCTGTCATGGCGGGAAAGGCAGGGAACGGCATTCCAGTTAGAAGGAACAGCATGGGCAAAGAGCATGACCGAACCTAGATGCCGCATCTGGAGGATCCTATACCTGGATGAAAGGATGCAACAGCGGGGACAAGGCAGGGAGATGAGGGGAGAAAGAGAGGTTGGGGACCAGCCATCTAGCTGAGGAGTGGGGTCTTAGGTTATTGGCAAAAGGGAGCACTTCTGAATAGGTATTCTAGAATAAGACAGATCAGTGTCTCCTGAATGGTCAACCTTGACCCCTTGCTGGCTGGCTACAAAAACCCCTTTGGGATGATACATATTATAGAGTCCAGGGTCTCACGTCTAAGGAGTCTGATTCAATAGGTAAAGATACCTCATCTGTATCCAATGCTGTCTACTTGCTTGGCTTTATTCCATCTGCTTTGCTTTTTTTTAACCTCATATAATCCTTACAACAATCCTATGGGAATAGGGACTGTTATTATCCCCATTTTACGGGGTGGGGGAAGTGAAGAACAGAGAGGTTAAGTAACTTGTTCAAGGTTGCACAGCAGCAATTGTCAGAACCAGGATTTGAGCACAGGCTGCCTGACTCCAGAGTCCATGCTTTTAACCACACTGCTATTGTGGCTCTCACACAGGCTGGGGAAATCTTACTTTACTGGGCACTGCCTCCCAACCGCTATTCTAACAGGCTGCAGATTTGGGCCGCACTGGCCTTGTCTATGAGTGTCCTTGCATTCAGAGGGAGGAGAGGTCAAGAGTAGGTGGCACCATCAGGAAGGGCTTCCTGGAGAAGGTGGACTTAAGGGGGTCCAGTTGGAGTTGATGCAGGGAACAGGGAGGAGGGCGTTCGGGTGAGAGGCACAGTGAAGGAGAGGCAGGAGGGAGCAGACATGCAGACCGGCCGGAGAGGCTGCCGCGGAGGCGCGCTGGGAGGCGGGGTGTGCACAGAGTGGACGTGGCCGGCTCCCGAGAGGTTTCCATCCAGGTGTCCCACGAGGAGGGGTCAGCGGGTCGTAGGCCCTCAAGGCCCCTGCTTTTCCAGAAGCTCCCAGGCTCAGTGAGAGTCTGTCCATGGTGCCGAGAGCAGCCCAGAAGGGAGCCCCCATTGCTGCCCTAAGAAACCATTCTCTCTGCCCAAGACCCACGGGTGGGGCTCGCCGGACGCCCTGGAGTTGGGGGCTGGGGGCAGAGTGGGGGAGCCCAGGCTCCACGGCAACCCGGAGGGGAGTCGTCTCGGCTCTGCTCTGGACTGGGCAGCCCCTGATGGTCCGTGCACCCCCGGCCGGGGTGGAAGTTCTTACAGATAAAGGAACAGCTGCGCCGAGGGAGGAGCAGGCAGAGCGCTAGAGAGCTCCATCCTCAGGATGGAAGTTCTCGTTCTGGCTCTGCCACTCGCTAGCCACGTGGCTCTTCCTCTCTGAGCCTCAGTTTCCTCTGCTGTAAAAGAGGAATTCATAGCACCTGCCAGGGGAGACGACGCACGATCCCCATCATAAACACTTCATCAACAAAGCCGTTATTATTATTACTTGTCACAAGCTCTCTTGGTCACCTTCCTAACGACCATTCTTGCTCGTTTCTCCTTTCTCACAAGAGCTTAATATTGTTGGGGAATCCCCCCTTCCTTCCTCCATGGGGACCTGGGAGGAGGCACCACCTCCAGCCCCGAGGACCGAGTCCTGATTCATCTAAGGCTGAGCCCATCGCCGCTGTCCTGTTCCCCTGCCAGTGATTGGTGGAGTCATGGGCACCTGACGCAGTTCTGGCCAATGAGAGGAAGTCTGCAGGGGCTTCTGGGAAAGGATTATCTCGCTAGTAAAAAGAGGCACATGGGAAGTATTGGTCCCTCTTCTCGTTCCCAGGACAGAGTAGTGTCTGCCGTTGATGGCTGGAGTTGCTGCAGCCATCTTGCAGCCATGAGGGAGACTAAGCTTACAGGCTGAAAAGGCCAGGGAAGAAAGATAGATGAGACTTGGGACCTCGAGGGTCTGGGCTACTGAAGTAATCAGCCCTGGCAATCCCCCCAGCTCAGGACATCTTAGGTGATATAATACATTTTCGATATTGTTTCAGCCAAGTTGAGTTGATATTTTCTGTTATCTGAGCTGGAAAATATGTACCTAACACCTTGTATTAAATAATTAAAGTTTATTGAGCACCTGAGTGTCCCAGAGCACGGCACTTCTGTGCTTATCACCAGACGTCATCCGCACAAGCGTGCCACAGAATTAGCATCCCCTTTGCCGTAGTCAGTTCGGGCTGCCATAACCACGTACCGCAGACGAGGTGGCTTTAACCTGGAGGCTGGAAGGTCAGGGCGCCAGCCTGGCCGGGTTCTGGTGTGAGCTCCCTTCCTGGCTTCTAGACGGGCACCTTCTTGCTCAGCTGCTAACGGTACCTCTCCGTCTCCAAGTACAGTCACATTGGGGGTTAGCGCTTCAGTGCATGAATTTGGGAGGAACACGGTTCAGTCCATAGCACCATCGTACATGCAAGAACGTTTAGGCGCCCAGAGGTGAAGGGACTCGCCCCAAGTCATTTAGCACATAGCTTGCAAGGGGACAGAGCTGGAACTTGGGCATAAATCTGCCTGAGGGGCCGGCCCGGTGGCGCAGTGGTTAAGTTCGCACGTTCCGCTTCAGCGGCCCAGGGTGTGCCGGTTTGGATCCCGGGTGCGGACATGACACTGCTTGGCAAGCCATGCTGTGGTAGGCGTCCCACATATAAAGTAGAGGAAGATGGGCATGGATGTTAGCTCAGGGCCAGTCTTCCTCAGCAAAAAGAGGAGGATTGGCAGCAGGTGTTAGCTCAGAACTAATCTTCCTCAAAAAAAAAGAAAGAAAATCTGCCTGAATTTGAAGGTTTGTGTGTGACTTGATCCACAAGACACCTTGAGACACCTTGGGTTTATTCATGTTCCTTATTTTTTTAAATCAGCTTCATTGGAGGCAGAATTTACCTGCAAAACAGTCACCCACTTTGTCCAATTAGAGGGATTTTGACAAATATATGCAGTCATGTCAATACCACCACAATCAAGATACAGAACCCGTCCATCCCCACCAAAGTCCCTTCATGCCCCCTTGTCCCCACCCCTGGGCCCAGGCGACCCCTGATCTGCTCCCAGGCGCCATGGTTTGGCCTTTTCTAGAATTTCCTGTAAATGGAAACCTGGTTTATGTCTCTGGGTCTGGCTTCCTTCAGTTAGCGTAATGCTTTCAAGATTTACCCATGTGGTTGTGTGGAGCAGTGGTTAGCTCCTTTTTATTGCTGAGTAGTATTCCATCATAAGGAGATACCAGTTCTGGGTTTATTTGAGTGTAAAAATAATGCCTTACACACCTGGGTGCTCCGGGGAGTTCAGCCGTGTTCGTTCCGTGGCTTCGTGTGTCCCTCTCACCACCGTGTTCCTGCGGGGAATGCAGAAATGCCCAGGCCCTGGGGTCTGTGCTGCTGAGGTCCTCGATCGAAACCTCTCTGGTTCCCTTGTGTCACCAGAGACCCCCGAGGCGCTCCAGGGAGGGAATCCCACATGTTCCCCAAATCCTCGTAGCCAGCATTCCAGCATCTTCCCAGATGGGCAGTTTTTCCTTTATCTTCGCCCAAACGTTCATGCTTCATTGCCGCCCTTCCTCCTGCTGACAACACGGAAGCTTTGAAGTGAGCGAAATGCACGGGTCTGAAGGCGCGAGGAGAAGTGCTGATCAGACCCGGGAGTCCCTCCCACGCCCCTGGTGGTGCAAGAAGCTGGTTAACCGTGGAGCGGATGCTGTGGGTACCACTCGCATCCCCTGGCTTGCTCACGCAGAGCACGCTGCTGTGCCTGGCGGCCTTCTTTGTCTGGCAGAGCCCATTTCCCACCCAACAGCCCGGCACCTTCTCCCCTCGGGCGGGATACCCCACAGGCTTGTGTTGCCACTGGTTCCCAGAGGTCACCGCCCAGGGGACTGAGCCTGTCACCCACCGTGGTAAGCTGCCTGCTGACATACTCAGTCTGGCTCCTCCAGGGCCCTGATGGAGTTTTCTGGACTGCCCCCTCCCAACCAAAATAACCTACATACACTGAAATCCTTGTCTTGGGTCTGCTTCTGGGGGCCCATCTGGAGCCAAATGATACCATTTATTGAGTACTTACGGTCTATGAGGCTCTAGGCTAGATGCTTCTGCACTATTCTTATCACCACAGCCCCCTCAGGGGGACCCATCCCATCACTGTCGTTTTGCAGATGATGTGACCGAGGCTCAGAGAGGATGAGTAACTTGTCCAAAGTCACACAGCAAGTGGCCAAGCCAGGTTTCAAACTCCCAGCACTTACCCCTGCCCTGCACCCCTGAAACACACACTCAGATATCTGTGTGACCCTCATCTGGAGTTTGAGTAAAGCTCTCTGTCTTGAGAGTCCAAGAAATCAGAATTCTTTTTCCTTTTTTTTTTTTTTTGTGAGGAAGATTGGCCCTGAACTAACATCTGTTGCCAATCATCCTCTTTTTGCTTGAGGAAGATTGTCCCTGAGCTAACATCTGTGCCAGTCTTCCTCTGTTTTGTGTGGGATGCTCTACAGTGTGGCTTGACCAGCGGTGCTAGGTCTGCGCCCAGGATCCGAACCCGTGAACCCGGGGCTGCCTGAAGCGGAGCGTGCAAACTTAACCACTCAGCCATGGGGCAGGCCCCCCCAAAATCAGAATTCTGTTTCAGCTCAGCTGCAGATGTGCTCTGTGGCCTCAGGCAAGTCATTCGCCCCCCTGGGCTGTATTTCCGCTGGAGGCAATTAGATTGCTTGATGTAAGCAGGTCCTTCCAGCTCTGACACTTGGTGAAATCTGAGGTTGAAGGGTGCGGATGTAGGACAAATAATAGCCCCTGTTTTACCCAGTGGGGACTAAGTGTGTGGAGTTAGCCGCAGCAGAAGATAGGAGCGAAGAGAGAAAGGGTGGCCTGCAGGATTCAGGGGAAGCTGGGCATGGAGCAACAAGGCAGCCCCTAGGGGGACATGGGGGCTGTGAGGGGGCGGGAGGTGGACCCCAAGGTTAAGGGCAGCCTGGGGCCTCCCCTCCTCGCCTTTCCCTCTTGGCTAGAGTGTCCTGGGGAGAACCTAGAGGAGGGCTCCCTCTGTTCGGTCCCTTGTGTGGGGTCCCCTGAGCACGGGCTGCTCCAACTCTCCTTCCCCAGCGGCCCAGCCACGTGGAGGTGCCTCCCCCAGCACCGAGGAGTGGCAGGTGAGGTGGAGGGAGAGCGCATGAGCTGCTGCCGGCCCCTGCCCCCTCCCAAAGCCAAGCCAGGCAGGGGAGAGCCCGTGAATTATGCATGCGCCTGTTAATCACACCCTGATTAAAATGATTGTGCTAATATTAATCCTCCCAGCCCTCTCGGAGGAGGGGCGCAGGGGCCCTGGCAGAGGCCAGCCACGGGTCCTTGCTCCTGGTGCTAGACCACTCCCAACCGACCCGTGCATTTGTAGGATGCTGGCTCTCTGCCAATCCCTGAGCACCCTCTGGGTGTGGGCTCGCCCCGCTGAGTGTGTGCCCCGCTCCTTGTGGAGGAGGAAGGACTCCATGACTGGCCCGGACCTTATGAACCTGCAGAACGAGGCTCAGACATGTCCAAGGCCTTAAGTATGGACACACAGCAATGAGCCTGGTTAGGAGCAAGGCCGAGGGCTGCGTCTCGAGGGTGGGGACAGGGAGCATCTTCAAGGCAGCGTCATGTGGGGAGTTCCTTTGGGGAAGACAGAATTCTTCATTTGCTCGGATAACTGCAGGAGGGGGCTGGGGGCACCCTCGGCTTACACACGCCGGAGCTGTGGACACCCGACACTTGGGCTCCATTGTTTAGACACCTGGAGGCATCATCGCGGTAAAGTTAAGGAAAGAGCGTGGTCTCTGGAGCCCAAGGGACCTGAATTCCAGTCTGGCCTCCTCGGGCTCTGACGGACGATCTTGAGAGTAACTGACTGCTTCCCTGAGCCTTCGAGGCCCCACCTGGAAAACAGGGCAGTGATGCCCACCTCTCAGGCCTGTCATCAAGACTGAGGGACGCCATGTAAGGAGGGCACCTCGTGGCACCTGGCAGGTGCTCTGCAAGGATGAATTTCCCAGGGAGAAAACCTTTTCCCACTGATGCGGAGAATCAGCATGTAAGTGGTGATCAGGAGTTTCTTCCTGCCTTCATCTTCCTTCCCTCCCACCTCCTGGCCACCCGGTGCTCTGGGGGGCCTGCGTCCTCTTTCCGGGTGAGCTGGGAGGAGTGCAGGGGTCCCCACAGAGAATTTAGGATACAGAGCAATTCCCCAAGGAAAGTGTTTCCCATCATTGGTAGCCACAAATACAAATAAAACCTTGTCAGCTACCCCCAGGCCTGAGGGGACTTTGGGGAACACCCCAGGACCTGACACCCATCCACAATGACAGCAGTGCAGCTGTCGCATTAGCAGTGACACCGCCAGCCACAGCGGCGGTTTAGTGAGTGCTTCCTGTGTTCTGGGCACTAGACACGCGCTGGATGTCCTTTCATTTTTCAACCCATTTGAGGCTGGCGGATATTTTCACTCCCCTTTTACAGAGGAGGACGCGAATGGCTCAGTTACTTGCTGAAGTGCACCATCCTCAAAGTCTGTGCTTTCAGCACGATTTTCTTTATTGCATCCACCGGCATTTCTTCTCCGGGAAGACGTATCGCCTGATCCGAGAAGCTGACTTGTCGGTGAACTTTGGAGACAGGCCCTTCCTTGAACTGAGGATTGCGTGGGCTCTGGTGGCACAGAGGATCAAGAGCCAGGGGTAATTCAATCAGTGGACGCTGTCTGAAGGGCCCAGGCCACCCGGCAGGAGGTGCAAGGCTCCCAGTTTTGTCTCGGCCCAGAACAGTCCAACAGAGTTCTGAGAACGTACCAGATATGGCTGGCAAGAACTGTGGGCGCGTGTGTGCGAATGTATGTTTGTGTGTGTGTACACACATTGGTGCATACATAGGAATCTGTCTGTACTCACCTCACATGTGAATAAAACAAACACAGGTCGTTGCCCACTTACAAGCTTTCTCTGATATTTTTTTCCAGTTGATTACTGCCTCGTTCTGCCCCCTCAGCTCTCGTTTACAAATGCACTTATTGATGTGGTCTGCATTCATTAATTTGCATGGGTTTGCATAGTGCCGGAGGAATGACTGTGTTACTCCTCTCTCATCACTCCGGCTGGGAATTCCCTCCCCTTAGAGCAATGTCCCTGTGCCAGGGAAGATGCTGTGTCTTCGAGAACGGACTGGGGCAGGTGGCACAAGTACTTTGAAAAGCCATATTCAATATGCCTGTTGTCTTCAAAATATACCCTATAGCAAATCAAGCTTCTTGATGGGTGGAGAAGACAGTGAAAATCTGAATTTGCTCCTCCTGGGGGTGGATAGAGAAGCCCTGGGATCAGCCAGCTTATCCCCGGGGCAGGGGTTATGGTTGAGAAGCCCCCCAGACAGTCAACATGCCAGAGTCGCAGGCTGGAGGGGTGGGAAGTTGGCCACAGTGGGACTGAGTTGCCTTTGTTTTGCAAGCTGTCATTGGCCAGTGCTTAGCGATCACTTAGATTTCAATCAGCTGTGACAGACATAACCTTGAAGTGTGAGGTTGTTGGGAAAGAGAAGAAAGGAAGACAGAGAGAGAGAGAAGAACATGCAGTGCGGGCTGGAAGGAGAGAGGAGGGGAGCATGTCTCCTGCACCCCTACTGTGTGTCAACCTCCGTCCATTTCTTGATGACTTGCTCTATGCATCCTAAAGATGCACGCAGCCCGGTTCCCCCAGCTCTTCTTACCCTCTTAATAACTCTTTGCAATTAAGCTGCATTTCCTCCGTTTTACACAAAGTGGAACCTCACAGAGGCCTTTTGGCCACCAAGAGGCTGACTCAGGGTCAGCCACCTCTCTGTCTTCCTGGGTTCAGATCCCTGACCTGCCTCTTACTGGTATGTGCTATCAGGCGAGTTATCTAACCTCGTGCTGCCTCAGTTTCCTCACCTGTGAAGCGGGGATGATAGTCCGGAACTCACTAGGTGTGTAAGCATTAAATGAGTTATTATGTGTAAAACGCAAGGCACGGTGCCAGGCACATGTTAAATTCTGTCCCCGTGTTAGCTGTTGTCCTATTATTGTTATTCTACGTGCCCGGCTTGTTCAGCACCACCTCGAATGTCCTTTTCCTCTCGTTTTCTCCCCAGTCCCCTTTCCTGCCAGCCCCTCCTCCCTTTTGGAGTAAAGCCACGTTGGAAGCCTCTCCAGCCGGCCAGCGGTGTGGGCGTCTCCCCATCTCCCACCCTGGGGGCTTGGCTCGTGGAGGACGGTGTGTCCATGTGACCCAGCCCCCTCAGAGCAGGGTGGGTGGTGGGCGCGGGGAGGTGGTCCCCCCTTCTCTCTGAGGATCTGAGGGCATAAGTTACATAACCACGACACCTGTTTTAAATTAGCCTTCAGAAGCCTCCGACAGCTGAGAAATTATTTAACAGGGAAAGAATTGAGTGCATGAATAAATATTAATATTAAATCACCACTTCCCTAGATTTAAGGGGAAGGAAGGGGGACTCACCAAGAAGTGGAGGCAGCAGCCGTCCGGGAGATGTGGCTCGTGGGAGAGGGGACAGGGAGCAGCCGGCCATCGGTCACCGGTTCCTGTCTGAGCCTGAGCTGAGCGGGGGCTCCATCTGTCAGGGGGCCGGACAGGTGGCAGAGGCTCCTGGCAGCTCAACAGGTAGCTGGTTTGAGCTCCAGCCTTCCCGGCCCGAGGTCCTGGAGGGGCCAAGGGGCAGCCTGGGGGCGACCAAAGCAAGGAGCAAATTTCCACGCCCGCCCCCCTCCCCCAGAGCAGCGGCAGTGAGACTCTCGCAGCCTGGCACTGTCGCCTCCGTGGGCCTCTTCCTCAAATAAAAGTATTAAAATGTATAATTTATGATCTCATTGGTATAAAGGCAAATACAATCCCAGCTGGATTCATGGTTATATATTCATTATTATTACGTTCTTGTGTTCCCCCTGACGTAAAAGGAATCAAAATTAGAACGTTTTCGTGGGCCCCAGGCACCATGTCTGCTAGCCCAGATGAATGAGTCGGTCCCCTGTCCTGGGCTGGGGTGGGGCTGCTGCTCGACCCAGGGAAGCGGCAGCTGGTGAGGAGGAGCATCCTGGGGGAGAGGGTCCCCAGGGAAGCTGGAACCGCCTAAGGCTTGCCTGAATTTGGAAGCTCGGACCCCATCTTTTAGGCGCAGGTCATGTATTACATTGAGGAATAATAATAAATTACAATCAATAGCAAAAGTAATAATAATAATTATGAGTAACTCACCCTGCCTTAGCTGTCCCGACTTCTTTGGTTCCAGGAAGCTCCAGGCACACCGCAGGCTCGGGGCCTTGGGTTTCTCCTCTCCCCTCCCCTGGTATCCACGTCCCTCACTTCCTCGCCTCCTTGGTGTCTCTCCTCTGATGTCGCTGTCCCAGTGGGGTCTTTGCTGACCTTTCACTCTGTCCCCTTTCTGCTCAGTTTTCTTAATGTATTTATCACTTCCTACTATCCCATTGTGTGACAAATACAAACTTATGGTACCATATACACCATATATTAATATGTTTCGATGTTTCCTTGGTTGTGGTCTCTAGACCATAAACTCCATAGGGGTGAGGACTGTGACCTTAGCATCCAGAGCAGAGCCTGGCATCCCATGCACGCTCCGTAAATATTTGTTGAAGAATGAATGAATGAATGGGACATTTCTGGCACGTGGGAGCTACGACAGTCGTGGTACCTGCCACATTGGGTTGTTGAGTCCCCCTGACTCCATACGGGGAGGTATCACCTCATTCCACCATTGGGGGTGCTGAGGTCTGGAAAGACAAACAGGCAGGCCCCAGACAGCATCCCTCGGTAAAACCCAGTGTGGAAAGTCCAAGGTGCAGCTGAGAAGGGGTCTGGAAGGTGCAGAGGCTGGGTGAGGGCACAGGAGGCTGATGGTTTCCTCTCCGACTCCTGTCTGCCCCAGAGCCTTCTAGGCTGTCTTTTGGGAGTTGGGGGTGTTGAGATGACCAGGAGCTGGGGCCCCAGTTGAAGCGCCTGCCCTGTGGGACCTGTGCAGACCCCTGCCCTCTGGGCCTCCATTTCCCCACCTGTGATTCCTGCAGTCACCAGAGGCTCAGCGCTCCCCTCTGCCAGCCGCAGCTGCTCCCCAGGGAAGAGAAGGGGCATTCCTCCTGTCGTCCCCTCCTCCTGGTCCCCGGCTCAGAGCTTGATGCCTGCAGGAGCTGGGATGCCCTCAGTTATTGAGGGGGGTTGTCTGGCACCATGTACCACCTGCCCGGTATTTCTGAAGCCACATCCTCCACGTCATGGTGAGTTGTGCACTGCTCTGCCCAACGCCAAATAGACGGGAGCCACAGCCCCGCTCAGCTTCTTGTCTAACCGCGGCTGTGACATCGATGTGACAGTGCATTTAGTTAGAGGACCGCAAGCATGGACCCAAACGCGGTTTTGGCCCAGGGTCTTCGGGCTTGAGCAGCCCAAACTCTGTGCGTGCCGATAATAAGAAGGGCCTTTAGATTGTGGTGCGGACTAGATGAGATAATGGGTGAGTGTCTTGAGAGCAGGGCCCGGCCAGTGACCGGCCCTTGATCCCAAGCCCCTCCCTGCTCCTGGTGGAGAGTCCCTGCCAGACCCGGAAAGGTGCCCCTCTGCCCCGTTGGGACAAGATGTCAGCTCGCTGTCTCTTGAATGTCCTCCAAGTGTTTGCAGGGTTGGTGGCGGGGGGTGGGGGAGACTTCTGAAGGTGCTGACCTTTGTTCCAGCTCTTAGGGGCGTGACTGGCCTGCAGCATCTTTGGGCTACCCGAGGGGGCAGTGTGGTCCAGGCAGCATCCGGGGCAGTTGGGGGCCTTTCTTAAGCCCACGCTCCCACCTCGAATCCACTGCTGTCCTTAGAACGGACACTGAGCGGGAGGGGGCTTACCTTCATTTCGTGTCTGGTGAGCTCAGCTATAAATAAGGAAAGTGGATTCAGAGAAGAAACTTGCGCACATTTTCCCAGCCAGAAAGTTCCAGAGCTGGATGAGATGCAGATCTGTGGCTGTCTGCCCTATGCCAGGCACGCCCTTCGTTATCCTTTAAATCAGGTCTGAACCCTTTATTTATGTAGGCAAAGCCCTGAGCATGCGGCAGGCCACGCTTCCTTTCCACCAGAAAGTGAAAAGGCCCACCATGGTTTCCAGGAAGCATCTCTCGAGGGTAACTTCTTCCTGTTGTTCCTGACCCCTGGCCTGGGTCCCGTCTACTTGCTGCGAGTGGTCACAGAACCTCAGTCTTCCACAGAGCAGCTGCCATGGGTGTAACTAAGTGACTCGTGAGTGTCATGAGAAAAAAGACACTGTGTCCGTCCCGGTCATCGCTGTTCAATGAGTGAATGCATGCATGAATGAATGAATGAGTGAAACATGAGACACAGTTCTGAATTCCATCCTCTCATTGCCCCACCAAGCTGCCTGTCCCCTGTCCGTTACAGCCTGGGAGGGAGTTCCTCATTACAAATAGGTGGGAACGGGGCCAACGTGCCCAACGGGGTTGGTGGCCTTTCCACCTGCAGAAATTTCCTGTGGATTCCACCTCTGTGTCCATCCACTTGATCCACGCCCCAGGCGCCCATGCTCTCCTCTCTCGTACCCCTGATGAATCACGTGAGTCCCGAGACAGAACCGCCGACACTGTCCTTATCAAGCGGACACGGCATCACCCTTCTTTACCTGCTGGGGATTATAGGATGCGTCCGTGCCCCGTCCCCCACCAGGCTGCCCCCGCCTCGGCAGTACCCTTTTCCTAACAGAGTCACCGAACCCTGTGCTCTTCTCAAAGCAGCCTGGGGAGCCCCCAAGGGAGGCGGCTGGGGCGTGATCTTGCCTTGCAGTCCATGTCAGAACCTGCTGGCTGGCTGAAGAGGTCCCCTCCCCTGGCGGTCTGAAGGATGCTGTTGGGGCATTGGGTCGAGCACTATGCCAGGAGTCTGGCCGCCCAGCTCTACTACACACTGCCTCTCTGAAACTCAGTTTCCCCACCGATGATAGAATAAAGGCCTCGATTCCACCAACTTTGAGGCACCCTCCGGCCCTGAGGTTTGGGGGCTGCCCTTCCCGATTTCGTTGTAAACTCCATAAGAACAGACTGTATCTGTGAACCGCTGAATTTTCTTTTATGTAAATTATACCTCGATATAGCAGGCAAAAGGTGAATTCGAGTCCACAAGATATATGGCAGTCAAAGAATATTCTAGGAACAATGAGAACCTTGTGCATTTGGTACCAATGGGCGTGAGGTCAGAGAGGAGCCTGGAGAGCTGGCATGAGCGCTGGTTGTGGAAGTTCGCGAGCAGCGTTCTAACATCGCAAGATACGTAACACCTAGCACTGTGTGACAACCAGCCCCAAACTTAGTGGCTTAAAACAATCATTGGTCCTCACCACCATGGACCTACAGTGGGGTGGGGGTCGGCTGATCTGGACTGGGTTCAGTCGGGCGGTTCTGTCTAAGCTGTGGGTTCAACTGGGCTAGGCTCCAGGGTGTGGACTGAGCTCAGCTCAGCCCCATGTGTCTTCATTCCGGGGTCCCAGCTGCGGGACAGCAGCTCCTGAGGAGAGCTCCTTTCGTGGAGAGGACAGAAGGGCAAGAGGGCTGCGTCGCACTGTGTAAGCCCACTGCAAGCTGCTGCTGGCATCTAACATCCCACTGGCCAAAAGTCACATGACCAAGCTCTAGATTGATGGGGTGGGGGGTATTTCTGCCCAGAGAGAGGGAGAGGGGAGCGGGTATTTGCTGAACAAGCCATCACGAGGTAACTCAGCACAATGGTTAGGGGGCAGGCCAGCTTGGGTTCGCATTCTGACCCTCATCAGCCATGGACTTCGTGCAGGTAACTTTCCCTCTCTGTGCCTCAGTTTCCCTATCTGAAAAGCAGATGTCCTCAAGCATAGCATTAAAGTACATCATGTCCATTGAGCCCCTCATCCTCAGGCGTCACAGAATGAGTGCCTATGTCGGCCGTTATTTCACAGATGATGAGGCATATTCCAATTTCATCTTTGTCGTCATTCCTGGTCCCCATCCCCTCATTTCCTTCTTCTGGGCCAAACCCTCCTCTCCCGCCCCCTCCCCAGGTCGCCACTCTCTTCAAATATTTGGAAATGTCCCCAAAGTCCCCAATCTCAGCCATGGTTAAGCCAAGCTACACAGATTTAGTTCCTTTAATCTTTCCTCGTAAATTAATCCCTCTGAAGCTTTAATCATTTTCCTCGAACGAGATTCAAATGAGACACATCTCTGGGCTCCCACCGTACCCCGGCTGCAGGCCAGCGACTGGCGGTCATGCTGACAGGTTTCTTGTCCTGCAGGGAAGGCACCCCAGGCTGCCCCGGAGATAGGAAGATTCAGGCATCAGGAGCCTTACCCTATACTAGAAGCCAGCCCAGGTTTTGCTGGTGTCCTGCCCACAGGTGGAAGGACGGTCTGCACCTGCATGTTATCTGCAGTGAGGGTGGGTGGCTGGACACTTGCCTATGCCCAGCCGCCCTGTGGCACTTGGCCACCTTTTATGCCTTACGTGGAATGTGTGTCCTGTCTTGTATGCAATGTGTCGGATCCTCCATCTTAATTCTGAGAGATTGGAACCCATCTCTGTACAGCTCCAAAGCCTGGGGGGGTCCCAGCTCCCTGGCTTACCTTTGCAGAAAGGGAACAAGGCGTCCCCACAGACTGCATGATGGCTGGGGCTGACCCATCTGGGACTAGCAGAATGTCAGGGACACGCCCAGTCCACCCTTCTGTCAATCTCTGAGATTCAGGTTTGGAAGCTGGCTGCTTATTTCTGTGACCTTCTAGGAAATACTCCCCTGACCCAGCTTCGAGTGGATTCCAAATGTTAAAGTCAGTGACTGAGGAGAAACAGTGAAACACAGTGTGTCCCCAGCCGAGTTTCTCCAGGCGGCAGGATCCATGTGGGTTTGTAATTCCTAGCGGCATTTCTCCGGCATTTAACGCGCGGGTGTGTGGCCCACAGACGGCTACAGTGTTGTTACATGGACACTGGGCAGATCCGAGCTGAATTCCTCCTTCCTAATTATGAGGATGTCCAACCTGGTGGCTAATGATAGATTTGGGGGGACTTCCTGGGTTGGGATCCCAGCTCTACCACTTACTAGCTATGTGGCCTTGGGCAAGCAACTTTGCCACTCCGTGCCTCAGTTTCCCCCTCTGAAAAATGGGCGAATAAGTCAAAATGTCTGAAGTCCCTCCAAGAGCGCCAGGCACAGAACAGGGGCTCAGTGTGCATTTGCTTCTATCAGAATTGTCTCCACGTCACCGTGTCTCCATAGCTGGTGAGTCGTTTCCCGTCTCTGAGCCTCAGTTTCTCCACCTGTACGGTAGGCAGGCTGCCACTCGCCTCCCAGGGGGCTGTCGTGAGAATCAGTCGAAATAAAGCGGGTGAAAGTGCTTTGCAAAATGGCAAAGCATCACGCGTTTTGGAAGATTGTTGGAGACATGGCGGCGATGTACCGGCAATGAGGGGAGTGATGAGCTGTGATATTTAAATGAGAATTTCTAAGCTCCCCAGAAGCCTTTATTCCCGGTCCCCAAACACTTATTGTGTTGGAATATCTCGTAGCTTTCCGTTCCTACCTGGGAGACTGATTTGCTCGAAATTGGCTCGGAGAAGGCAGAGCTATTAGAGGGAGGGCTCGGAGGGAGGGGGCTTGGAAATCTTCCCCCATCAGTGAGTTTCTAGGTGATTGGGAAATGGATTGTTGAATCTTAGTCTCTCTCTCCCTCTGCATCACTCCCTCCCTGCCCGAGAACTACTGAGGAATGAGACGGATGCCATCTGTCTGAAAGCCAGGTACGTGGGAGTCAGTCTCCCCGCCTCCCTCTCCCTCACTCGCCACGGCCCATCGCTCCCCAAGGCCTGTAAGGATCCCTCCAAAATATCAGTCGGAGCTGCCCCCTCCTCGGCTGCAGAGTCTGGCATCTCGCCCCTATTTTCTCAGGAGCATCCTCGCTGGGCCCCTGGCTTCCTTTCCCCTCCTGGAATCTGTTCTCCAAGTAGCAGCTGGCAGGGTCTAACGCCGATCTGATCCTTCCCCAGACCCACTGGTGGCTTCCTTTCGTTTCTAGCAAAAGTTCAGAATGCTCAGAAGTAGCACTATTATGATCCCATTTTACAGACGAGGAAACTGAAGCCCAAACCAGTTAAGCAACTCCGGCCCCAGGTCCCACAGCGCAGAGTCGTCAGGATTGAGATCACCGACCCGGCCGCCTGGGTTCGTCCCCCGCTCCAGCCTCCTCCCAAGCCGCTGGTCCTCTCTCTGTCCGTCTGATTGAACAGGGCCCCTCAACCCTCAGGGCCTTGGCCTATGCCTTTCCCGCCACCCAGAATTCCCTTCCCTCCTCTCATTGTCTCCCTACCTCCCCCAACGCCAACCGGGCAGCTCCTGCTCCTCCTCTGGGTTGCCATTCCCACGGCACCCGGCGCAGGAGGTCTTCCCAGCTGGATCTGGGGTCCGCAGGCTCACAGCCCTGCCCTCCTTCAGTGCACTCGTCCTAGAGCAACTGTCACCCCTCCTGGGACTCTCTGTAGGATGCCTGCCGCTGCTGGGACAGCAGTGTCACCACTGTGGGGGGTCAGCCAGCCTGGGCTCCGTAACAGACTGCCTTGGATGGTTATTTCTCCCGGTTCTGGAGGCTCCGAGTCCAAGACCAAACGGCCAGCAGATTCGGTTCCTGAGGTGGACTCTCTGCCTGGCCTGCATGTGGCCACTTTCTCGCTGTGTCCCCACGTGGCAGAGAGAGAGAGAGAGTGAACTCTGGTCTCTCTTTCTCTTCTGATAAGGACACTAACCCCAGCATGGAGGCCCCACCCACATGACCTCATTGAAACCCAATCCCCTCCCAGAGGCTCTGCTTCCGAAGAGCATACATTGGGGGTTAAAGCTGCAATATACAGATTCTGGGGGTCCACAAACGTTCAGTCCATGACAGGTGGTAATATCTTATTCCTCTCTGGCTCGCTGATCCCAAGCACTGTTCTTGGCACTAAGCAGGCACTCAGAACACTTGTAGAATGAATTAATGAATGAATGAATAAGGAACTGTGTTTGGACATTGAATCTGGGGGTCCCTCCTAGATTTGGGAGGAACCCTGCAAACCCACTTACATCCCAAGAGGTTTTGGCGACATGAGAGAGGGCTGGGGGAATCGCCATCGAGCAAAGTCTCCCCTTTTCATCAGCAATGACCTCACGGTTGGCAAGGTCATGGCTTGCTAGGGTGCCTTCACTTTTCCTGAAACATAAGAATAAATTAAGGGGGGAAAAAAAGAGGAGGAAAAAGTCACGTTGAGCTGCTCTGATCTCCCAACCGTGCGGTCCACCCCGGGGATGAGATCCCCGGTGTGAAATATTGCCTCGTGATGAGATCTCAAGCCATGAAATATAACCATGAATTTAGATCCCCACCCTGGAAATACAGTGCGCTGATTAGATCGCCCCCGTGAAATATGGCCTTTGGGTTCTTGCACGCGGGTAAAATATGGTCTTTGATTAGATCACGGCGGGAGAGGCTGAGTTGCTAGCTGGGAGAGGAGACTTTCACCACATCCTCACAAACTGAGATATAAATACACGGAGAGGAAGAGAAAGCAGAGGAGGTGAATTCATAACGCTGACATTTTGGAACTTGGACTTTCTCGGAGGTTGTCAGCGTGAGGGGAGGGGACGGGGACAGACCCTGCCGTGCTGGCAGCATCCTCAGCTGGGTGACAGTGGTGGTGGTGACAGCTGATGTACGGGGGCTTCCTGCGTGCCGGGCACTGTGCTGAATGTTTACCACGTTAGCTCCTGAGTTCCCGTGGGGATGGTGACCCGATGACAGTTCCCGGTTACAGGTGGGAACGGAGGCACAGAGAAGTCAAGTCACCTACTCAGGGACTCACAGCTGGGACGTGTCAGGGCTGGGATTTGAACCTCGGTCATCTGCTCCTCCAGACCTTACTCTTAGTCATTGCCCTTTGATTGGCTGAGCTGATGCCGCGCTGGCCTGGCCTGTGGTGCTGGGGACATGTGGCCCCCACAGGCTCTCGGCTGCTACAGGGGTGAGGGGCGGGGACCCCTGCAAGAGTCAGAGACGGGCTGGCACTGCCCTCGGCTCCGCCGGGTGAGGATGGGAACAGAGAATGCCAGGGTCAGAGCCCAGAGAGACAGGGGGTCCAGCTGGGTCCCTGCCTTTAGCCAGAAGTGCAGGACCAGAGCTGGGCGGCGGCAGGCCAGGCCTGGAAGCCAAGGTCGCCTAACTTTGAGGCACATGCCTCCCCCTTGCTCTGTAAATCCCTCTCTCTCTGAAAGGAGCAGAGAACTAAATTTGGATCCTGAGTTTATTCAGCGAGATGGCTTAGGGTAATAATTCAGTGGCTGGGCAGGGCTGGTCATCCCGTGAGCTGGCTCTGCGGGCGGGGCCCGGGGCACTCACGCCCCAGGCTGCTCACAGCTGAGCCTCTGTTACGGAATTGCCCTTGAAGGCCACCACCTACCCCAAGGTCATGCCTCCCCAGAGGCAGCCCCATCCAGTGGCGGCTCGATGGGACACAAGGGCCCTGTCCTCTTGCCTCAGTTCAGGTAACTTTGAAGGGTTGTCTCAGCTCCAGGGCCCCCAGTGGGACCGGCTGAGGCCCCACAGCTCAGCTCCCCTCTGCCTGTCCTCCGCCCTGCACCCCTACACAGGGCTGTCCCCAGGCACCCCAAGCACCCTCCTGCACACAGCTCTCCGTCTCATGGTCTGTGCCCCAGAGCCCAGCCTGTGGCAGACGCTGACCAGCCTCCCCGTACCTCAGTTTCTCATCTGTGAAATGGACGCATGAACACACTCGCCCCAGGGGGTGTTGGAGGCGAGGGTGCTTGGTGTGTGTGACCGCAGTAAGTGGTGGGTCAGCATTCGCCGGCATCCGTGACGGGTGGTCCCGGGCTGCGGAAGTTCCCATGCCACAGTTCGTCCTGCCTCCTTTCCTCTGCAAAGCGGGGCCAGTGAGCCGGTCCAGTGGGTCATTGTAATGTCCGTCTGTCTGGCAGCTGGGGCCGTGGGGGCTGGAGCAGGTACTCATCAGATGTCAGTTCTGGCCCCTCTTCCTTCCCCTGGCGTGGGTGCTCAGCGAGGCGGGCGAGGGGGAGGGGGCATCTCCTTATCTCGCCGGAGCCAGCCGCCCGGCCCCTCTTATCGGGGATTTGTGAGCTTGTAAAACATGGCCTGCTGTCACGCCATCTCCCCGGGGCCAGGGTGCACTCAGCTGGGCCTTATCCTCGGGGATCTTGGCCTGTGGTTGAGGGGACTGCCAGGTTATCCTGGGCGGATGGCAGCCAAGTCCTCCAGGGACGCTGGGGGGCATCAGGGCTGGCCTGCCAGTGGCTGACATGACTCCGGAGTGGACAAGGCAGCGTGCAGGAGTCCCCCTACCCTCTTTTCTTCCCTGCAGAGATTTCAGACGGTGAGGTGACCCTGAGAGGCTCTGGGAACCCAGAAGGAAAAAATTGGGCGGGAGAAAAAAAAAGAGCTACATCAACCTCAGTGACCTCCTGCATTCACCCATTCCTTGTTAAGCACCTATTGTGTGCCACCTGCTCTCAGCTGGCCAGACCGTTGACTTAGCATGAAGCCTCAGACTTTTAGTTCTGTGTCTCATGGTTTCTAGCTGTGTGACCTAAGGCCAGTCACTTGCCTTCTCTGAGCCTCACATGTCCAATGGGAATAATAGCACCCAACTCACCGTTATCAGGGTCCCTTGAGGCAGTGGATGTGAAAGAGCTGCCTTATAAACTGTGAAGTCCTGTGCCCACAGGAAGGGCGTGATCAAAGGATAAGCTTGCACGTGGATTACATACCTAGAGGAATGGCAGAGTGGGCCGAGGGTCCCAGGAGGCCGAGCGGGCTTGCAGGAGTGGGAGCAGATATGCCAGGGTTCGCTCTGCTGGGGGAGGAGGGGGTGAAACAGAGGACATTCCAGGCCAAGGGGAAGCCGTCCATACAGCCGGCTGCGTAGGGGGCATGCAGGTGGGCCCTTGCCGTGGGTGCGAGCTGGCGACCGGAGCAGTGCTGGCCTGTGGCCGCCTTGCTGGTCGGGGAGGCCGGGCCCATCTGGCTCTGTTTTTCTCCCGTCATTTGGATGCTTTTGTGCTGAATTCCCATTTGTCACTGTTGTCCTGTGCTTCTCTTTTGAACGTGGCATCTGCTAGGGGCTCCATCCGGTCCCTACCCGCTGTGTTCTGGCGCTCAGATCTGTTTGCAACCTGGGCATCTGGTCTTAGGGCAGTGAGTGGTTCCGATCCCTCAGCGGGTCTCGGAGGTGGAGCCGGGGGTGGGTGGGGCGAGGGCAGAAGGCCTTTGCTGAAGGTGCTGGCCCTGCCTGACCCCAGGCCTGTGGCACCTGCCTCTTCTGAGAGTCGACTGAGCAGCTCCCCTTCCTCCCCGGCCTCCTGGGGGCTGCTGCGGCTTCCCCTTCCCCGTCTTGTGCGTCTTCCTTTCCGACCAGGCTTCAGGCAGCAGAAGAGCCCGGCCGTTCTGAGCACCTGCTTTGGAGCCAAGCAAGCCTGGGTTTGACCCTTGGCTCTGCCATTCACCAGCTGAGCATCCGTAGCTCGGTCTCCAGGAGCCTATTTCCTGCCTTTGCAAAATGGGGATAGTTCTGCCCGCCTGGCACTCCTGCGGGGCTGCAGCCGGAGGGGGCTCTGCGGTGCCTCCCCGCCTATGATGCGCACATGGCGTGGGCATGGCTCTGGGCCAGGCCACCGGAGGCTGCATCCTGGCTCCCCCAGGGTATATTTGTTAGCCTCTCTCTGTGCCTCCGTCTTGTCACCCACAGGATAGGAACAACACCAGCTTCGTAGAATAGATGGGGGTCATCAGTGAGTCTGTGTGTCTGTAAAGGGCTCAGAACTGAGCCTGATGCAGTCAGCACCGCCTGATGCTGGCGGCAGCAGCATCACCATGCCCAGGAGCATTGTCCTGTGGCTGCCCGGGGGCCGCAGAGAGGACAGAGGCCATTGCCCGGTCAGCAGCCGGGCTCACTGAGGACCAGTGAGGTTCAGCCTCCGGCCTAGGGTCCTACGGCCCAGTTCGGATTTGAATCTGTGCGTGTGTGTTGGGGGGTCAGACGACCTGGCCTCAAGTCTGTCCCCTTGCTTGACAGTCGTCTGGGTGGACGCCGGCTGGTGACTTCTGTACCAAGTTCCATTCTGAGTTCCGTTTTTCTTTTCTTCTGCCAGAAAGCGTTTGTGAGAATTAAACAAGAAAATAAAAGTGGACGTTTTTTTGAAAAACAAAGGGCAGTGAACTGATTCAATTCAAATATTCAACACCCATCTCCTGAGCATCTGCTGAGGGGAACCCAGGGGTGGGCGGGCAGAAGGGACCCGGTCCTCACGGAGCCTTCACTCTATGGGCAGGAGACACCCTGACAGAGGAACGAGCACTCCGGGTTCACGGAGGGGCTGAGGGCTGGGTCAGGGGCCGTCAGGGAGGGCAGCGTGAGGAGGTGACATTTGACTTGGCAGCTGAACGAAGCAGGGACGAGCCCAAGGATGTATGGGGCAGGGGAACAATGAACAGAGAGAAGCTCAGCATAAAGGTGAGGGGAGTGGGCGCATTCCAGGGCCGGGGGACCCGGGTTGGGTGGTGGGAGCTGTGGTCAGGGGCCAACCCCTGCAGGGCCTTGGGGCCCAGGCTCAGAGTCTGGAATCGATTCCAAGAGAGATGAGAGCCACCGGGGGCTGGGGTAGAAGAGACCTGTGGTCTACTGGGATGTTTGTCTATTCCACTCTCACAATATACAAATATTAGTCTGCAGTGGGGCGAGCTGAAGGGAAGCGAGTTTTCCTGAGTGTGTGTGTGTGTGTACACACGTAGGGCGGGTATCTGTGTGTGTCCAGGGAGGGTATCTGTGAGCGTGCAGATTTAGAGGACGTTCAGGAACCAGAAAAGGATCAGATGAGTCACTCTGAGATTCTTTGTGACCCAGAGACTCTGTGATTTTATGAAGAAACGGTCATGTGGCTTATTTTTCAAGTCCCCAGACCATGAGTGAATTTAAGATAATAGGAGGAATTTAGGATGAAGCTGGATGTGAAGGATGCTGCGCACGGGTCAGCGGGGAAGCCACCGGCATTCCTGTTTCTGCGGAGCAGGAGGTCTCAGCTGCTGGCAGCGGGAAGGGAAAGGAGGCACGTCTATTGAATTAATAAAAGGCAATGAGGGCTAACTTGTTTGGAGCATTTACTGTGTGCAGGCTCCGTGCTAACCACTTTACATGAACTCCATCTCGGGGCTCCTACACACACTGCATTAGTTTTCTAGGGCTGCCCTAGCAAATTACCACAACCTCGGTGGCGAAAAACAACAGATATTTATTCTCTCCCAGCTTCGAAGGCGAGAAGTCTGGAATCAAGGTGTCGGCACGGCCACGCTCCCTCCGAAGGCTCTGGAAGGTTCCCCCCCGGCCTCTCATAGCTTCTGGTGGTCGTCAGCAATCCTTGGTGTGCCTTGGCTCGTAGACACGTCACCCCAGTCTCTGCCTCCATCATCGCCATGTGGCATTCTGCCTGTGTGCGTGTGTCTCTCCTCTTCTTATAAGCACACCAGTCGTTACTCATCTTAGCCAATTACATCTTCAAAGCCCCTATTTCCAAATAAGATCGTATTCTGATGCTCTAGGTAGACAATGTTGGGGTGACACTATTAAACTCAATGTCCCCACTCTTTTGAAGGGGGTAATGTTGCCCCAATTTCACAGAAGCTCCAGAAGGTTAAATGACCCACTCTAGGTCACACGGCTACAAAGTGGGAAAGCTGGATTCGAACCCAAGAGCGTCTTTGATGAAGGTTCGCTCTCATTCCACCCCTCCAGGCTGCCTCCCGTGGGGGGCCTGGCATGTCTGCCAGAGGAAGGGTGCAAGGCAGTTTGGGGGGGCTTGGGGGATCCCCGAGTAGATTGGAATGGCTAGAGTGCTGTGGTGGGAGATCAGCTGAAACGGAGCTGGAATGAGGATCACAACAGTCTTGGAGGGGCCCCTCCCTTCTCCTTCTCTGCCTTCGGGATCCTTCTGAACCTACCACAGAGACCACCTTCCCTCTGAAGACTCCCAAATCCCCTCGCCCTGTGAGGATGTGCCAGCCCTTGCTCCGAGCTGCCCTAGGCCTGTGGCTTGTGTCTTTCTGGAACGAATCCCGTTCTCTTTTGCACCTTAAATTCTCGGATGGTGAGTCTCACTCACCTTGACGCTTGGCCTTGACCTTCTCCAGGCCAGTCCGTGTTCTCAGAGCCTGACACAGTGAGCAGCACATTGCAGGTGCCCTGTAAATTCATCCATTCCACAAAGAGTTATTGAGCACAGTTATGTGCTGGGAGCTGAGAACAGAGACGGGAAGGAGGGGCCGTCGGCTAGGGAGACGGACACACAGACAGACTGGCCATGGGGAAAGTGCGGGCATCCTGGGAGCCCAGGGGGAGCCAGGTGGGCAGACTGGGGTGGGGAGAGAGGCAGAGAAGGCTTCCCGGAGGAGGTGACGGCGAGCGTGACAGGTGAGGCAGTGCAGTGACGGGAAGGGAGAGGGGAGGGAAGGTCAGTGCAGCCGAGTGAGCAGCAGGTGTGAAGCCCTTCAGGCTGGAGGGAGTGCTCAGAGCCCTCTGGACTGCAGGCAGCTGGGCGAGGCTGGCGCGTGCCCAGGGAGGAGGTGGGAAGGGGAGGTGCCGATGGGAAGTTTCTCTGGGATTTCCCTTCCCTTGAGACAGACGTTGGGGTGGGAGGAGGCACTGCAGAGTGCCGGGCAGGAAAGCTCTTCCTGGAAGCAGGTGGAGAGAGGCTGGAGGCAGGGAGGCGGGGAGAGGCCGGGGGCTGAGCGGATCCGGCAGTGGTAGGGGGAGAGCGGAGAGATTCGAGTATCACTAGATGCTCGCTGAGCTGAATTCTGTATCGCCCTGCAGGACTGGATTCGACCTCAATGCAGGGAGGAAGGTCACGCACCTGAGTCCCTGCTGAGTGAGGAGGCTCCTTCCTGCTGGGTGGGGGGAGGGTGAGCAAGGGGAGGACAGAGAAACTGTGTCTGTCGGCGCCCCTTAGTGGTGGAGCGGGGCTGCCCATCCTGGGTGTCACCTTCTCTCCCTTTCCCACAAGCCCCCCGAGGACTGGGGTCAGGGGGTCTGCAGAATCCAGGCGCACACTGCAGGGCCAGAGCTTAACATCCAGTAGACTTAGACGTCAGCGAGAGAGCCCAGGGTCTGTCCTCAAGCCAAGGCTTACTGGGGGCCCCACGGGCTCCCGAAGGTGCCGCGTGAAATAACCCACGTCAGGGCTGACGTTTATCAACAGCTCACTGTTCGCCAGACCCCATGGCAAGTGTTCTCTGCATTATCTTGTCTGAGCCACCTAACGGCCCCATGTGGTGGGCGCTCATGTTGTACCCATTTGACAGATGAAGCAACTGAGGCTCCAAGAGGGGAAGTGACTTGCCCACAGTCACACCTCTAGGAAGGGGCAGAGCTGGGACTTGAGCCCTTGTTCTCATGACTCCCAAGCCCTGGCCTGTGCTGCCCCCCAGGAAGATGCCGTTTTCCCCGGGCCCTGATCGCTGGGGAAGGTAACCTTTGGCCCCAATCGGCAGAGCCGGTGGGAAAGCCGCCGCCAGGCCCCGTCCAAACGAGAGAAGGAAGACGGACGGGCTGGCTCCCTCTTTTCCTGGCTTCCCGGTACCAAGTATATATTTTTTCTAATCGGCCCGGCTGCTGATGGTTATCTGGCTTCGTGAGAGAGCGAAAGAGACTTTGTGTCAAATGCTGAAAAATGACTTTTCAGGCAGCCTCTCTGTCTCCTGAAAGGGGCTGACGTGCTCAGAGCATACAAATCACTCAGCACTCTGCGTCTCGATGTGAGGAAGGAGTGTGTTTAGATTGCTAAAACCACTCCCGTCCCTGCCCAAGGTCACGAGCAGGCATCCCGGCCTTGTCCATGCCTGGAGGGCAGCGAGGCCTGGAGAGGAGAGGCGATGTGGCCCCAGACGGCAAGGCTGGGGGGCTCGAGGTCCAGGAGGGGTCCCTTGGATGCAGAAGGTGCGAGAGCCCGAGAAGAAGGCTGACCCGGGATTCTAGGTCTTCATCGTCCCACAGTAAGCTGTGTGACCTTGGACAAGTTACTTCACCTTTCTGGACCTTGGGGATGCCCCTCCATATATAGTCCCACAAACTGTGTCTTCAGCTGTGCCATTCATCCAGCCGGATGTTTTAATTACTGGGTTTACCTGATGCCGACTGATGCTCAGAGACCCCCGGGCAGCAGAATTTACTGACAGGCCACTGGGTGGAGGGGAAGAGGGTGGACTTTGAAGCACGTCAGAGAGGGGCTTGAACCCGGGCTCTGGATTGGGCGGCCTGCTCGAGTTCTGCCACTCAAGCTGTGTGACCTGGGGTATGTGGCTTACCCACTCTGAGCCTCGGTTTCCTCATCTATGAAGTGAGGAAATAACCAAGACTGGCTCCTGAGGGGCAGTGGTGAAAGCAAAGGGCTCAGGACAATGCCCGGCACGTGCGTCCGTCCTCGGTCAGTGTCAGTGTTGTCACGGTGACCACTTCTTAGCTGGGCTGACGGGGCACGGCTACTGACCTCTCCAAGCCTTGGTCTCTCCATCTGTAAAAGAGGGATGAGGATTTAGAAATTCAGAGTACTCAAAATGCTGGGCACACAGTAGGCTCTTAATCACTCGTAGACATTATTCTGGCTCTTTGCAGAAAAATAGTTTTTGGTAAAATTTCAGCTTTTAAGTGTAGCTGATATTTTGCAATCCCTTGAAAATTTATAACAAAGTATCTAACGGGATGTTTCTCAATACTAACACTGGATTGACTAGAATGTCCCGTTTTCTGAGTGGCCATGATGGGAGGCCACTGCGGGGGTCTCTTTATCAGAGTCAAGAGCCCCGTGGCGGTCAGGGGCAGAGAATGCCCAGAGCGGACCCCAGGAGGTAGCACAGGCCCCAGTCCTGGATGCCAGCCCCAGTGGGCCTGGGCCAGGGGTCCCGCCTGCCTGCCCTGCTTCCTGGAACACCGGTGGGCTCGGCGGGCGGACCCCGCCATACAGAGGGAGCAGTTGGCCGCCAGAACAAGAACTGAGAGAGCTCGAACCAGGCTCCAGGCCTCCAGTGGGTGAGGGGGGAGATATTTGTCATTTGTCTCCCCATTTCTGTTTTCCTGACTGTAAAACACAGAGAAACCACACAGCCAGGACTTTAAGACAGCAGCCTCCAGATGAGTCTGAGATGTTAGGCAAGTCCTGCCAGGGGCCTTCCTTGTGCTGGAGCAAAACGAAAGGTCTTCCGTGGCCAGGAAAAATTCTAAAATTGGGGAGCAGGGCGGCAGAATAAAATGCACAGGATGAAGAGAGAGGGCAGAATATTGGAGAAAGGGCCCCAGACTCGGCACCAGGCGGACACAGGCCTGGGCGTCACTTGAGAGCTGGGTGACTCCAGGCTGGTCATCTCCCTCCTGGCCCCACTTAACTCCTGGGGTGTTATGAGGACCGAGATCATGGAGGTAAAAGGCTTTGTTTTTTGCAAAGAATTAGCACAAAACGATGATGGGGAGGCCTCTCTCCTCCTCCTCTGCCCAGAGGCCACCAGCAGGAGCGTGTGGCAGTGACAGGCTCCATGGGACAGATGGGGTGGCTTGGTGGGGCTCTCAGTCCGTCCATTCTCCCCATTCCGTCTGCCTGAGCCCCCTCTCTAGTGGGTCCTGGACTGACGCTGGGGTGTCGTGACCCAGGTGTGGGCCCAGATGCGGGGCTGGTGGCCCACGCTGGGCTAGCCAAGGAGATACGCAGACAGGAACATCTTGGAAAGGACAGAAAGACAATGTGGGTGGAGCATCCCATGGGGCTGAGCAGAGAGGGAGCGTGGGCACGAGGCAGTGGCACATAGGGCAGAGGAGCAGACTGAGGCGACACACAGCACAAGACATGCCATCCTGGCCTCGAGGAGAGGGCCCCGCAGCAGCCTTCTGGGGACGCGTGTCACCTGAGCTGTGGGAAGGAAGGAGGCCCGGATGCAGTGTGGACGCTCCGAGCCTCCACGCCTGTAAACGAGGCAAATAAACTAGACTGATGTCTCTCTAGGGCAGACTTTTTTAATACACAACTTTGTGAGGCACCCCAATATGTCAGACAGACGAAAGGGGAGCGGCTCTGGCTAAAGAATGGGTTGGGGACCCTGCACCTCCATCTCTGAGGTGCCCCCAAGTTCAAAGGCCGCCCCTGCCACTTACTGGCTGGGTGATGTGTTTCCACTTCCTGACCTCTCCAAGCCTCTGTTCCATCATCTGTCAAAGGGGGACAACGTTAGAACTTATCTCACCAGTGAAGATGAAATAAGACGAAAGATGTGCCTGTAACCGAGTAAAACCTCCACCAATGTCCCCGCTACAACAATGATTATTATCGACTCCCTCCCGCACAGCCGCCCTCGGATCCCGGGCTCTGCTGGACACAGCTTGGGCACCACCCCTTGAGACGTCCCCCAGAGGGCCTGTCACTTGGAGCATCCTCTAACTCTGAAGTTCTCAGCACCCCGGACACAGCGACTCCATGGGTCTCTTACTTGGCGATGCTGCCTTGGGGTGGTGGGAAACTGTGCCCGTGCCGCCTTCCCTGTGGTGTGGTGACAGCCCAGAGGGAGCGGGCAGCAGCCCCTCTTGTCCCCTCTCCACCCCTCAGGTCTCCCTCCTTCACTATGTCTCACCTCTGGCATTCACAACCGCAACGCTCGCGACTTTAATCGCCTCCATTGTCTGCTCCACGCCGGGTAATCTTGGCTTGGAACACATGTTAACAAATGGGCGAAGTTTTATCGGGAGCCGGGCGCCCCTCCCACTTTGTCAGATAAGATGCTCTCGCTTCCTGGGCTCGTCCTTGGGAATCGATCCGGGTGTCGCGTTGATGGCAGGTGGGGGGGGAGGGGTGATCCTGGGGGGCTGCAGGGGCCCGACGAAGGCCCCCCATGGGTTCTGCTGCTTCCCCTGCTGGCTAGGGGTCCCCCCGAGACCCTGTAAGCTGCAGGGCAGGGGGAAGGCTGGCGTTGATTCTGGGTTCGAATCCCACCTCTGCCTCTTCCTAAGCACGTGGCTGTGGTGATTGTATCACGAGCCACTTCCCTTCTCTGGGTCTTGATCAGCTCGATACAAAGTAAGAACAACGCCACCTGCCTCTCAGAGTGAGGTTCAATGAGATTCTGGACACGACATTATCTGGGGCTTAGTGGGCAGACCGTGGTCCTGGTTGCTTTCTTACTGGCATCAGTTTTCTAGAGCTGGCGTAACAAAGTGGCGTATGACAGCAGACGTGTATTCTCTCGCAGTTCTGGAGGCTCGAAGGGCTGTGCTCCCTCCGAAGGCGCTAGGGGAGGGTCCTTCCTGCCTCTTCCAGCTTCTGCTGTTGCCGGCCGTCCTTGGCTCGTGGCTGCGTCACTCCCATCTCTGCCTCCACCATTGCGTGGCGCCTCCCTCTGTGCATCTCTCTCTCTTTGTCCAAGTTTCCCTCTTCTTATAAGGACATTAGTCATACTGGATTAGGGCCCATCCTCATCTTCACTTGATTATATTGGCAAAGACACTATTCCTGAAAAAGGTCACATTCACAGGGGTTGTGATGTATGTATCTTTTTGGGGGACACGGTTCACCCCACAATACCACCCTTTGGCCAAGCCCTCCTAACTCGAGTAGTCGGCGTCATCATCACCCTTGGAAGCAGGCTTGGTCACTAAGTTTCCCCTGCTCGGCGGGTCACGTGCCTTATGTCGTCTCTCTTATG